TATGAGGGCTTCAACTTAAAGGATCATGGGACTTAGTAAGTAAGGTTATAAGTCCCTTAGTTGGGGTTATAAGTAAATATAAGTATAGTTACCTTAATTATAACCCTACTTACTAAGTCCCATGATCCTTTAAGAAAGAGGTCTGGGCTGCAGGGGGTTTTTCTGGAGCTTAGGTTTGCGATGCTCTTTCAAAATATGCTTCAGATCTCAACCTTGAACCAAGACTGGCATAAAAAAAAAAAACTAAACCCTAGACCCTAAACCCTTTCATTTCTTCTGCTTCGGAGTGGGCTCGTGGCTCGTTAGTGCGGCTTTCAAGCCACACACACACACAAGATCCTAAACCTAAATCCAAAGCCCTACGCATCCATACGCCCTAAACCCCATGACCCTTGAGCCCACCTCCTAAACCCTGAAGCCACCGCAAACCCCAACCCCCAACCCATAAACTTTACCGTAACCCTTATAGTAATCCTGGGAACCCTTTTCATCACCCATCTCTAGACCCCAAAACCTAGGATCCCGACAGCCTCCTGGATCTTAGCTTCCCCAATCTGAGGCTCGGACGGCAAACATGAGGATGGCTTGCGGAAAGCAATACCTCCAGGCAGGGTTTAGGGGCTAGGGTTCAAGAGTTCAAGGTTTATCGCTTCAGAGCTTAAGAGTATAGGGCTTAGGGTTTAGGCTTCAAGGCGTGAAACTCAAGCTCCAGGGCCTAGCTCTGGGGCGTAAGAGTCTTGCAGATTTGGGCTTTGGGTTCAGCATTTAAGATCAGGAACCATCACAATTCTAGAGACCCTACTGAAGCAACGCTAAACCCTAAACCCTAAACCGTCATAAGAGTAAACATGAAGTATTAGCAGAGCCACCAGAGTCGCCATCGTCATTACCACCACCATAGCATCATCGTCATCACAAAATTCATCATCAAAAGCATCAGTGCCATCGGGTCACCACTGCCTACACAATCGTACCGTACTATCTATATCAAAACCCCATTCGTTGCATCATCACTAAATCTGCAGCACTTGTGCCAAGATGCGCTGCATGGTTCAATACTGTCCGCAAGCAGCCGCACTCCATTGACGCCGGTGGTGCTACATCTGCGGTGGGGAGTGGCCTTTCAGCCTCTCCCGAACACAACTCGACAACTTGGCTTTCCGCTCACGGCAAGCCTGGTTATGAGGTGAGGCAGGAACAAGTAGCTAAAGTTACGGGACGCACTCAAGACAAAGCCCAAGGTTGTCCAGAACGCTTCCCCCACGAGTACAGCTCTCAACAACCGTCATCCGTGACGCTAGCATCCTGAATTAAGCCCTAAACCCTGAACCTGAAGCCCTAAACCCAAAACCCTAAATCCCTAAACCCTAAACCCCAAGCATCCTGAATTAAACCCTAAACCCTGAACCCTAAACTCTCTTCTGCTTAAAATCTGTCTGCTGGAGCCACATGGCCTCAACCAGGACGCCATCTTTCAAAAGCACCCAAAACGCGCAACAGCAGTAGTATAGGGGCCCTTATAATTGGAATAGGGTTTTGGGGTCCGTTATAGTATAATTGTAATTAGTAAGGAACCCCCAAAATAGTATAGGTAATTAGAAAAGGCCACCTGTTTGCCCACTTCTCGGTGTGTGCCCGTCATGCGTGCGCAGGCGCCATGCTAACTCTCGGGGTCGCTCCAATTTAGTTTGGGGCGGTTCCAGTTTCAGAAGTAAGGGCTTATGCTTTAAGATGTCTTCAAGGCAAAGTAATTCGAACGGCATGAAGACATTGAAGGTTTCAAATGATGCTTCGCACATTTTCGATATCAGTATCAAGTGGCGACAGGAACAAGACTATCAACCTCAGCAAACGGCATAGGCACATGTCTGTGCTCGGCATGGGAATAACAGCAGCAGCAGTGAATACTAGCAGATGAAACCTTTACTGGTGCTTGAACTGCAGAAGTTAAGGGTGAAACTGACAAAAAGGCCACTACATACCACAACGACAATAACGACGATAGTTTGGTGAGGCAGCTGTAATAACAATAAGCAGCAGTTGGAACCATAATCGAAAGATAGGATTAGGGGTCGTGGCCCCAAAAGTCCAAGCCCAAACCCTGGAATGTGTTTGCGGGTTTCAGTTTGGGGTTCACGCGAGGATTTCATCCGTTACTTGGTGAAGAACCCATGAGGCCATACGGAAGTTGCGAGAGGGCCTGAGGCGCTTAGAGCTTACGGCTTGGCTTCGGTGCTTATGGTAGCCGTCGAATAGGAGCAAACATAGAGCACGCTCATTACCACATAACAGCAACACATTACTGAAAATATGACACGGTGAAACGTCATGGTACCAGAAATTGAGTTGTGATGCATGGTACTACTGAAATCTTCCACGGCATGCGTGCATAGTGTCATGCACATGTACTTTTACTGAATATACACACATCTGTATGATTATAAACACACAGGGATAGACTGTAGATGTATAGTATAAAAGATGATGGGTTCATACGGCAGACTGCATACTACTGCCTCTGTTACCCATAAACCTCGATGACATTTTGCAGTTAAAAGATGCTCGACCATAGAGAAATCAGAACTGCTTATAGAACGTACCGTAACACAACTTCCTTCGAAAACCCTCATGTAAGGGCCTGAATAATCAGAATGGGGTTTGGGGTATATTATACTATAGTTATATAAGGAACCCCCAAAACCTTTTTCTAATTATTAAGGCCCCTACATTACCGCCATGCAAGCGAAACTTCGGGCTCACAACGGACCAGGCACAAGGAGTTTTGGGTTTCGGGTTTCGGGTTTAGGGTTTAGGAAAGTTTAGGGTTTAGGGCTTTGCGTTTAGGGTTTAGGTAAACCCTTCAAGCACGTTGCAGGCGCGGGAGGTCCTCCGAACCTTTTGGATCAAGGCCACTACGTCACGAGAGTCGGAGACTAGCGCCAAACGAATTCTTGGCCTGCTGACGTACCGTCAGCATCCCTTCGTGGACAGCGACTACCGTCAAGAAACTCAACCTCAAATGGCCAGCAACAATACCACAGGACCATGCGGAATATCGCGCCATTCTTCGATGCACTGTCGGTCCCTGTCCACGCAGTTCCCCAAATCCGGCTCCGAACGAGGAGCGCGCAAGTCACGAGTGAGAGTTTTGGTTTCAGGATGAATCAGCCATTACGGTTTAAGGTATTGGGTTTAGGGCTATGCACACCTCATTCAAAGCTCGCTGTCAATCAAGCCGGGTTCGCTTTCCCCCACGACCGGCCTCCACGAATGGAGATTTGGGTTATTCTAAACCCTAAACCCTAAATCCTAAACCCCTAAACCCCTAAACCCCTAAACCCCTAAACCCCTAAATCCTAAACCCTAAACCTGATGCTTCTTGAAGGCACCTATTTGTCGGGTTTTCAGACCACGCCTCTCCGTGATAGGAGAATTCAACGAAGCATTAGTGGAAAGACAACGAAAACATGAAGAATCTAAGCACGTTTGATCATGTTCCTTCGTTTGAGTGTCGTGCTTACGACAAAACTACACAAACTTAAGTAAGAAGCTCGGAATAATGCCCTAAACCCTAAACCCCTAAACCCCTAAACCCCTAAACCCCTAAACCCCTAAACCCCTAAACCCCTAAACCCTAAACCCTAAACCCCTAAACCCTAAACCCCAAGCCTCAACTCGCACAGGAGAAGTTGCCGTCGGAGCCCGGAGGTTCAACCCTAAACCCTCTTTCCCTCAGATTCTTGCAAGTCGGAGGAGGGTTTAGGGTTTAGGGTTTAGGGTTTAGGGTTTAGGGTTTAGGGTTTAGGGTTTAGGGTTTAGGGTTGGGGAGACCTCACAGAAAGGGGTCCATCCCAAATCCTATCAACGTTAACAACCCCACTTGTCAGACCCTGCAAAAGCAAAAACCCCTGTAAGCCCTACCAAACCCCCGCAAGCGTCAAAAAGAGCTCTGTTGAAACAAGCCACTCTAAATGTTGAACCGCCCAGAAGCTGAAATCTCAAGCTTCGAAAAGGTGATCTTGGGTTTAGGGTTTAGGGTTGAGGGTTTAGGGTTGAGGGGTTTGGGTTTAGGGGTTTAGGGTTTAGGGTTTTGTTGCGCCTTCTCGATATCGTCCAGCAGAGCAGTCGCCTGCGCATATGCAAGCCCTTTTGGAGCTTTGGGGGTTTTGTGCAGCGTTCCATGCTGGCTTTTGGGGCGTTCCCCTAAACCCTAAACCCCTAAACTCCCAAACCCCTAAACCCCTCAACCCCTAAATCCTAAACCCTAACCCAACCCCTAAACCCCTAAACCCCTAAACCCTTAAACCCTAAACCCTATTTGCAGGGAAGTCTCTGTACTGTTGCTTGTTGAGGTTCTGTACATGTCACCTCCATGGGCCTCCCCCTTTACGGGGCGGAAGGTTAACAGGCTTTAGGGTTTGGGGTTAGGGGTTTAGGGGTTTAGGGGTTTAGGGGTTTTGGGGTTTTGGGGTTTTGGGGTTTAGGGTTTAGGGTTCAGGGTTTGGGGTTGCCTGAACGTAAATGAATGCCGAAACATGAAGAACAAGCCTTGAGGGCACAAGGGTTTAGGGTTTAGGAGGGTTGGCTTTTGGGACCATGGACGATGGGTATACATTTCCCAGAAGACACTTGTTTGCAAGCTCGCAATTGCTGAACCTGAGACACGAAACCCACAACCCTAAACCCTAAACCCTAAACCCTAAACCCTAAACCCTAAACCCTAAACCCTAAACCCTAAACCCTAAACCCTAAACCCACAAACTCAAAGGGGCTCCAACCCTTGACCGAGCAAGCCTCCACCTAAAACCTTGAGCTGAAAGTACATCCTAAACCCAATCGCCTAATCCCTAAACCCAAAAAAGAACAAACCCCAAGGCAAAGGGCCGAAACCCTAAATCCCAAACCTCGACCTAAAACCTACACCCTGAACCCAAAAACCTAAAATCCCAGAAAAAAACATCTCCAGACCTCGTTGCTTCGAGCGTCAGTCGCCAACTTGCCTCTTCATATGATCAGGTTTGGGGCTTTGGGCATTTAGGATTTCAGGATTTAGGTTTAAGGTTTAGGGTTTAGCGTTTTGGATTCAGGGTTTGGGGGTGCTGGGCTGAAACTTGCGTGTCAGGGTCTTGGGCTCAGGGTTGCGAGTTCCGGCTTAGCGTTTCAGGCCTTCAGTGGTCAAAGGGTGTAGGTAGGTTTTGGGCTGCTCCTACTCGACGACGACTACTCCTACTACCACCAGGTACTAAACGCTACTACCACTATTACAACCACTGCCACAACTAACTGACACTATCTGCTATCTGCTAACTACTCGCTGCTGGTCCAATCCGAGTTTGGCCATAGCAAGCAATAAGCGATGGCAGTAAATCAGCCATGACATCGATACCACTTATAGTAAGAGTAAACATTTCACGACAACAAACGGTCTTGTCCAGGGAATTGTGGCAATCACGGAACAACGGTAGCAACTACAACACCAGGACCCAATGAACAAAACATAACAACAAAAAGCGACACAGTGGTGAAGCAACCAAAAAAAACTGTAAGAACCATTAGGTAGTATTATTAGGGTACCCCTTAAAGGGTACCCCTTCTCTCTTAAAAGGGACCTTATTGAGAGGGTCTATATCCCCAAGGGTCCCCCTAATCCTAGCTCCCAACCATGCATGCTACCATGACGGCTGAGGGCTGCGGCTCTGCTTGAACTGGCGCTGAACTTCGGCCACCTGCGACGTCTCTTTGGCGCGAAAAAAAAACTTGCCTGTCGATGCCTAAGGCTTGCTCCTAAACCCTAAACCCTAAACCCTAAACCCTAGACCCTAAACCCTAAACCCTAAACCCTAGACCCTAAACCCTAAACCCTAAACCCTAAACCTGGCACAAGAACACCCGAAAACAAGTTGGCTCAACCTCATTGCCTTCATCTCTGGCCCAGAGTGCTCCGGAAATCCTAAGGCCCGCCCTCGCCTCTCTCGCCAACCGGGCAGCCTCCTGAGATCAAGAAGCACGACCCTAAACCCTAAACCCTCAACCCTAGACTCTGAACCCTAAACTCCAGGCCCTAAAGCTGGAGCCATCAATCT